CCCCCCCCCATCCCCTAATTAGTGCCAAATGTGTCCTTGATTTGACCGTAAAATACTACCGAAAGACAATGGCATGATGTATTACTCCCCTAAGATTTTCATGGGACACAAAAGAATCTAAATCCAAAAAATCTATCAATAAGCAGCACCTTAGATAACAAGCTGATTCTAAAAATGATATCTCATAAGCGCCTCTTTTTCCATAAGTGATATTGTGGGTTATGAACAAATAAATGAACTGAACAAATGAATAAGAGTCCATGATGCCAACCCAATTTCATTGTGGGGACAACAAAAACAGGAGAAAGAGCTAGTTATGTAACATGTTCCAGCTCCCTTTTTTTCAGTTTTTCATTGCATTCAACACTTTCTATCCCATTTTATCTCCTCCACTGCTAGTGATGACATTGCCTCAACCAAGGTCTTTGATTAGTGCCGCTTCTAAATAAGGCACATCCTGCTGACCTTCCAAACTTTGTAATTTCCTATTAACCCTTTCCTCTCTAGTCCTCTTTCTTTCTCATCTGACTTGTTTTACACTACATCTCCTCTCTGAGGGATTGCGTCCTGCTGGGTAAACAGACCAAATACATCATAAAAGTCAGTGGAGCGGTATGTGATGCAGCATTTGCTCCCTAAATTAGTTGTTTCTGTTATGATATCACTCTTGTGCCCTTATATGCTTCGCCACCAGCTGTTTTGGGGGTGATTGAGGCATGATACTTAGAGGAGTATATTGCTTAGATTAATCTTATTGTAGATAGGCTCATGTAATGTTTAGGCACAGGACAAACTAGTTCTTCTGGCTGATCCCATGCGAGCTAACTCCACAGTGAAGGTGGGTGGCTTTAAGGCTTTGTCCCGAGGAGTAAATTTAGATGAACAAAGACTGCAGTACCACCGCACTCCCATAATGGCCTAGACCCTTTCATCTCTAATCAGCAAAAGGTAGTAGATGGGCCAGGAAAGAGATCCCTGATTGAGTTGGAAAAGACATCTGACCCTCTACACTGTATTCTCCACAGCTCTTCTTGAGGAAAGAGGAAGTTTGATGGAGAATATTTAGTCCCTGCCAAGTTTAGACAGGTTAGAGTGAGCATGTGCATGCACATACCTACTTTTATCTAACACAATAGAACACACACGCACACACACACACACACACAGCCCAGGTCAAACACCAGGCATTTATACCCAACCTCATCCATGACCGCACAGCCTCGGCTCGATTAATTCAGCCTCCAGAGACACGGATCCCCAGGTTAAACAGCAGGCTCATAGCAGAGAGCAGAGTGAGCAGGCTTGATGGATGACTGCAGCCCCATATCCTGACACGTCTGATAAACGTGAACCGGCAGATTCGTTTTTAAACAATGTAGTCCTACCCACACATTTAACATCCATACTCCTAGACCAGGGAAAAGCTTTCACAATGACTAATAACAAATTTAGCCTCTTTCAGACAAGGAATCTGTAACATTGCTGGGTTCATCTATATGTTAAATAATGGATTTTGGCTTTGATGCATATAGTTCTTTATTCATGTGCTGCTGATGTACAAATATGACATGATTGTTGTGGATAGATTTGTCATCTTGCACTACCTGGCATTTGAGGCACAAGACTAAATGATGCAAGAATTTGTGTAGTAATGCTGGAAGCAAGAGATTGTTTAGTGTAACTTGATTATATGCTGCTGACAGTGCTTAACTATTTGTATTTGATTTCTTTCAGCCTCAAGTGAGACATGTGATCCAGTTTCGAATAATGACCACCCATGGGACTATGTGAGTGAGAAAATTGGCTGTTGGACCAGCTTCATCAGACAGGACAAGGCAGAGGTCCACATCCTTAACATAAAGTTTGACAAGATGGTAAGCATGTCAAGGTTACACAAATGAGATGCAACTAGAGCTAATTATGTAAATGTATATATGCAATATTATAATAATGAAAAAACTCTTACTTGCCAAGTCCTTAACATGTATAGTAGCAGTAAAATTCAGCAGGCAGGTGAAACCTTCTCTGTGAACCATATAGTAATTGCAAAGTTAAGCTGAAACAGAACATAGAGTTAAAAGGCTGCACAATCAACACACTAGCTATCTGTCAAGCTGACAACTCAGCTTGCTTGTCATATAAATCCAATACCATGGCCTGTCATGGGTGTGTTATCATCTCCAAATTAATCATCCTTTTCAATGGATGGTACAATATGTCAAGTTCAGTCACACCTATAAAGCAGTGTGCCAGTCCATGCATTGCATATGTGCTCACCTTGTATGCATTTTACACCTTTCAGATAATAGAATATGTCACTCATAGTTACAAACACAGGGAATCAGTTTGAATTCAATTTTTCTTTTATTTACACAGCTGGAGGCTCTGTCAAATTGCATGCAATATGACATAGCATTAAAATATAGCAAAGCCAACTGTGGAGGCTGATTTATGTGATGGAGATGGAATTTTTTTAAAAACTGCCTAAGTTGCAGTTGAAGAACATGGTCAACCATGATAGAGAAAAGATGTCAACGTTACCATAGGTTATTAGATAGTTAATAAATTATGAGATTACAGGCAGAACAGAAAATGCCTCTTTTCAAAGAAACATTTTGACATGTCACGGTAGTAAAAGCACAGGTGTAAAATGATGGCCGAATTTTATTAGTTAAACCTGTGATTTGCCTACTATGTCAAATAAAAATGTCTGATGTGGAGAAGGCATATAAAGGCTGGAATTCTAAGACAACATGGGTAACCTGGCAGAGATTGACTGTTAGCTCTTCTCTTAATATACCGAGGCTGAGTGCAAACAAAGAGCAACTGGGTATGCAGGTGAGCGGGTCATGTGATGAGCTGACTCAACACTGATGGTTGGCAGGCAGGACAAAAATGTCAGATTCAGAATGACCTAATGAGATGTTAGTGTGCACAACACAGAGATTAATCAGATAAACTGGAGTCAGAAGAGGCAGGAAGCAAGGACAGAGCGACTGACATTAATGTAATATGATTTTGTTGGTATACATTTAAAGGGGAACTCCGCAGATTTTACACATTAGAGTCTGTTTACAGGTCAAAAAATACAAAGACTTTTATGGCTCTGCATTGTGGGTGACAGATGATGACAAGGAAGAAGAATATCTAGAATATAAACATCACTATCTCTGGTTCTGATGCATCAATTTTTTCCGATAGTTATAGAAGTGCATTGCTAAATCAGTGCTCTGTTAAATTTATTTTGGTTAATATTGTCATTTTTTACATGTAATATTGTTGTCGTACAAACTCTAACCCTAACGTTCAAATGAATCAGCCAAAAAAATTCTCCCCACACCATAAGATGTAAACACACACGCTCCATGTTTTATCAGCCACTTGCTAACCCTTAACAGATGTCAGACATAACAGAAAGATAGGGTTTCCCAGAATGCTACAGTTTTTTTTTTTTTTTTTTACCACTAAAGAAGCTTCTACTGTATAACAACCCCACTCTGCAAGTTTGGCTGTGTGTTTAAATAATTCCTTTTTTAGCTAAACTAAAACACACCGTAATTGCGGATAGTGTATTGGGTCATTTTAAATGTGAAACTTTTAGCTTTAGGGAATGACAGCAGAAAGTAACTCCAGAAAACTTTTAATCTATATGTTGTTATTGCTGTGCCAGACTCCATTTTTCACTGTCGAACATTGTCGGTCAGCTCACATTAGTCATTTCTTTATCAGTGTGCTCTGTTTGTTTGCTTCTTCTGTTTGTTCTCACTTAGAGTTCTTTATGTAGTACTTTCACACAACTTGTGTTAAGCAACTGTTGTTTATTTGTTTATTGTCTATTTTTATTTTTCACTCTGTTGGTCATTCTTTCTCATTTGGTAGTGATTATGAGGAGGGGAACAGATGTGCTATGTGCAGCCCAGCCAAGGCACCATCACAGGATACAATGCCTGCCTGAATCCATCACCTCTATAAATCCTTGAGTTGCTTCTAGGAAAGCTATAGAGAACCCTGTCATATTTTTTCTCTTAAGAGAAACTTTAACCAGTAAGCTAAGCCGATTTAAAAAGAAGAGTGTTTTTCCTTCAGAATTAATTCTTTTGTATTTGACATTAGAGGATACTGAAGTTTAGTTGTGATGTTACACAAAGACACGTTAAAATAAATGTCTTAGCAGTGTAGCTGCTTAGTCTCAGAGATGCCCTGGTCTGTAAGAGGTGTATTTAGTTTTGTTTTAAGTAAGAGTGCTAACATTGTGCAAGCAGATGATTGTCTTTCCCTCAAATACTGGGTTATGGGCATAAATACTGCTCTTTTGCCAAGTCTTTAGTCTCATTTAATGGACTGCAGTTTTACAGCATATTTAATGGACTGGAAATAAGAAGAAAAAGCTGTTTGATGACAAAACAGATTTAAAGCATATTGGGAGGGAAATGCTTCTCTCAGCCATCTTATTAGACTTAAGAGTGAAACCAGACAAATTATGTTGTGTGGGAGAACAAGAAAAAGACACATTCCATTTTAAAAAGTCAGAGTTTGTACAAAGAATGGTTCAAGTTGTCTTATAAAAGTATAAATTGGCATGGGGTTTGTGGGAGTTAAAAAAAGGAATTTGGCGTGGGATCTGTGTGATGCAATGGATGTTGTATGGAGTTAGCATATGCTGTTCTCTTGTGGGACTATGATTGGATGCTTTATCAAATGTAAGAAGAAAGTGGACATGAGATCTCCTAACACAGACCCCTTATCTGCTCTTGACTGCCTGTTTAGAACAGACGTTTCTTGTAAACACAGTTGAAGGGGACGGTCTTCATCTTTTGCCAAACTGTCCAGTCAGATGGGAGGTTTGCTCTTGCCTCCCCCTTTCTTTGTCCTTTTAAATGTCTTATCACCTTCTTCCCCATCCCTTTTGTTTTTCATACTGATTTACAACTTGCCTGAGACAGTTGAATCTCACAGTTTGACCGCACAGAGAATTATAAAGGGAGCATCGAGGGGGCTGCCACAGGCCAGGAGAATGCGTAGGGAGGAGCTGCTTGTACAGGGCCCATTGATGTCACATACTGGCTTGGGTAGTCAGGGTCTTGGCACAAGGCCGAGACTAGACCAATGGAGCCAATTCAAGTTAAGGGAGAGAGCCAAAAGAATAACTGGAAACTGCATCAGCAAAGGCCCTTCAAAAAAAATGCTCTTGAGAAAAAAAAAGTCTGAAAAGGAAAACAATTGTATCTTGAAAGCACAGGAACAAAAGTAGCAAAGGTGAGTGATCAGGGTCAGCAACAGTCATGATTCAGAGTTCAAAATGAAAGAATGAAAGCCACAAGAGGATGAAGGGAGGGAAACCAGACAGAGAGACAATGAAGCTCATTAGAAAGGAGTATTTAGGAAAACACCACTGAGTTATCTCTGTTTGAGGCACAATGAACTCTGTAGGAAATGCCATTCATTCATTTACTGCATGTACATGCAAAATGATTCAGGTAAAAAGGAGGTGGTAGTTCTGGGAAGACGTTATGTTAAAACATTCCAAAATCTCAGACTCTGACTCTCGTGATATAATAACTCAGTCCCTCTTAAATTCTGTCTGTCTTCAGGGCAGTCAAGCCATATTCTTTTTATTATTAATAAATGGAAAGAAAGTGTCTTATAAATGTTAAAACAACAACAAAAAGCAAGACAGTGAACAGGTCTTTTTTGCACATAATCCTGACTCCTAGTCCATTCAAAGCCGCCATGTTTTCACCTGGGATTGCAGTGCCCCCTTTGGCCACTTTTTAAAAAGAAGGGACTAAACACATTTATGAGGTGCAGCATCCATTATGCACAAGCCACTATGTACAAGACAGTGATAATATAGCGTGTGTGTGGGGGTGTGTGAGAGAGATTACAGATCCCTCTGACCATTTTACCGGGCGCGCAAGCCTCTCTTTCCAATGCAACTGTGTTTTGCTCATAGGCAATTTGTTGATGGTCTCCTTAGACCTAATTTGTTCGGTACGGGTCTGAAAATTTCCATAGCACAGGCCTGAGCTCATCACAATTCTCTTGGATCAAGCTCTGGCAGCATCAGGTACCAAGTGAATGAATTTAATATTAGGGATTCACACTGTTTCCCCAGCATGCTCACTGTCTCCCCAGCAGAGCTCGGCTCTGAAAACAATCTACCTTCAAATAAACAGAATAAAGTATTTGGTGTCAAAAGGCATCACAGATGGATCAAAGCAGACATTTGTATTTATGAATGTTAAATTCCCACAAAAGAATCACACTAGAGAGATATTTCCATGTTTTTCTTTGTTTTGTTTTTTTAAAGCTGTTCATTTCTAATGTATTGAGTCATAGAATTGAACCAATTTCAAATCCATGACTCTTTCACTTTTCTAAACCCAATTATCTTAAGGCTATTACAGAAGTAAAAGTAATTAGAACCAGGATTTATTGGAATTAAGTCAGTCTTCTTAAAAAAAATGTCTCTAAACTCAGACTTATTATTCCACAGTGAAAAGGTTTACTCACCACCACTTACATCCATAAAACTCAGCGGTACCAGCTTTACCCTACGCACATGTGGAGCATGGTAATTAAGGCTGATTCATAGAGTGACTGTGGTGGTGATTAGCGAATCACATCGCCATTGTGTTACCCTCAGCTGAAAATGTGGTTAATGAGGTATTACATTATGTGTTAAATTATGTTAATGAGGTTTTATATACAGTATATAAATACCGGCAGGATCAGCCACGTACAGGAGTTCACTGGGTTGCAAGTTATAAGAGACACATAAATTGATAAGGAATACTGAACCCTTAAATAATTCTAATTCTCTAGAGTATTAACACATAGTTTCAATGCTACAAAGACACACAGCATTAAAAAAAAAATGCTGCTGTTCGCATGTCAGGTAAATATATCATTTCGATAGCTTTTGACTTTTTCCCCTTGTTGGCTTGCACTGTAAGAATAGAACCATGCTGCATTACCTCATTAATGTCTCTGTCAATATGGAGGCAGACAGCAAAGACAGCTTCCTGTCTGTCTGCGAGCCCTCCTCAAATGACTGGCACTGCTTTTTCTGGAGAGATGCATGTGTTGACATTTCATAGTAGCGAAAACAAGGATAATTGTCATATCCCCCACTGATTTTTGCAATAGGGCAGAAATGGAATCAAACTTGTGTAGAATTAAACTGCAGATGGAACTATTTTTAAACTTGGTTCTGCAAGCAAAATGTCTCTCTACTCCTCAGTTTGAGGTCTGTTCATTTAATGACATCCATGCCAGAAGGAAAGGTTTGCAAATTGGGGAATAGTCATATACTATTTTACACTCAAAACAAATGCTGGCTTGAAGTCGGCATATTGGCACATTTCGATTCTGTGCGAAAAGGTCATAATAATTATGGTTAATTTTGTATATTTGTTTATGATTGAGAGTTTTCCAAAATCTCAACCTAAAATGTTTGTGCTAAAATACTCATAAGTCACATAATTATGATGCTTTTAATTTTTAATCTTGGCAGTAAAGTAGGAATCTTAAAAATACTGTTAATGGAGCCTATGACATGTTTCCATATGACAAGACTGCACAGATAAATATATCCCTCCACTTTGCTGTGTGACAACACAGTTAACAGTTATATAATAGGAGCAAGAGGCATTGTTTGAAGTACATTTCATGAAGTTTTAGTTTTTTTATTTTACTGCTTTGTTTATATAACACAGCACACACTCAGCATGGTACACTCACCAGAAAACTCATTATAGGCAGCATGGTAGTTACCATATGGATGGCTTCACAGGGTGAGTGAATATTTATGCCACACAATTTATTTGTGTTCCTAATCAGTCCCAGTGTTGCACCTGGAGATTTACACCACTGCCAAACTTTGCCTGCCCGTAACACAATCACAAACTCCAAACCCTTTGGCTTCCACACAGAATTAGAAGTTGTTAACTCATTAACATGCTTAAGCAGCACTGAATTTACAGCTGAATAAAATATATGGTCAATATTTAAATGCAGAGTTTGAATACAGAAGTGAATACAATAAATGGTTATTATTTTAAACATAACGGATCAAATCTTTTGTTTCCTTTCAGGAGACCAATATGTTCTCTCTGGAGATGACCAAGGACATGCCCATGAACCTCATCCTCACGTCCTCACACACGGCTCACTGTGTACTAAAAATCAAGACCGGGGTTAACGTTTATGTGAGTTATGCCTCTTTTTTTTCTTTACCATTCAGGCTGGGTGCAGCATGGATGGATATGTGCAAGGTAAAGGGGAAACAAAATGCTGATTGTGCAACATACCACTAAATTTATTTTATGTGTTAGTCTGTTGTTTGTGATTCCATTACTTGCTTGCTATTGATACAAGAGATTGTTTAACAAGTACGGACTAATCATGAAAAATAACAGGTTGTGGGATCACCAGTGTAAGTGGTTATTTTTCAGTATTGTATAATTGTCTAATTTCTCCAGATGTACTTAGCTCCTGTCAAGTGCCAGCTGTTTAACATACAGTCAAACTGCCACAGCTGTGCAGCGCTCCGGGCCTGTTAAGAGACAGTGAACTATGTTTACTTTCCATAGATATTCCCCAGTGGCTGTTCTGCACGAGGCAGTTTGTATTTTTGTGTTTTTATTATCCACACCATAAAATCGGTAAGACAAGTTTTAGAGTGGCCAGCAACAAGAGGGGCTGATGGCGCCGGCTGTAGAAGTAATGTTCCAATGAAATTATAGATTCTGACTTTTATACACTGTCCTCAGATTATATCTGTGAATTAAATCTAGGGAGGCCACAAAACAACTTTTATTCAGCTGCTGAAGTGTCTAATTAAATAGAGGAATAATAATGTTATGTGGACCAAGTGTTGCATCAGTTTGGTTAGTGTAGTGTGTCACACTATTTTGGTATTTAAATTGGCATTGGTGATGAACCTAAGTATTGTTATTGAAACACACCACCGAGTACAATTCAATTCAGTTCAGTTTCTTACATTATGTCATGGTCTGTTTTCAACAAACTAAAAAGCTTCAAACAGGAAATTATATTAAAAAGGACTGATGTGTCCAAATAAATGAGATTGCGTCAAACTGGAATATTAATTTTAAATATGTTACTGATGAAACACCTAATTTCTTAATGAAGAACACTGATTAGTTTCAATTGTGGTCGAGATATGGAACTGCAGTTCCTGTAGATAAGGAACCATATCCTCATGGAAAGTTATAATAACTTGAATTAAAACAATATTTAAACCACTAAGCATCTGCAGTTGTTAAAGAACCCATCTACAGCAGAGTAGGTTACATTATTGCTTAACATTTTCCGAAGCTTATCAGTGTGTGAAGTAAGCAGTTTCTGCCTCCTGTGTTGTTTTGTTGCACCACTGTCAATTTGATATTACACATTTTGGTTTTCAGTGTCAGCTTCTTTGTCAAAGTTGTACTTTTGTACGTTGATTAATGTGTTTTTGTTTCCTTAGAGGGAGTCACTGGTGGAAGTTCATGTCAGTACAGCATGACAGTTGAATTGTGATTTGAAACTTCCTTGAGAGGAAGAATCACAATGAACATTTTATCAGCTTTATTTCTTTATGCAAACTCACATTATCATTGCGCAATCTGGGATTACTGTCTCTGGAATTCTTGAGGATTGACAGTTGGCTGCCTAACGGTAACCTTTAAAACACAAGAGGCTCCTAAATTCACATTGACTCTATCACGGAGCTAGTTGTTTGTCTTCCATGTTTGAGCTTATGACTAAATAGCTCATTAGTGCAAAGCTGTTTTGCAGCTGACTCTCAAGTGTCAGAGCTTTCCTCCTGCACATGAACGCATCACTTGGAAGACTTTTCACCATCTTGTCTTTTTAACCACTTCGTCACAAAAAACTTGTTTTGTGCTAACAAAATTAAAAATGAACTAATGTTGAGTGTGGTCATATATGTCAATGTACCTTTACGCTGCAGATAATTTAAACTACTGGAAAAAATATTTTAAAAACTATAATATAATGTATAATATAATAGCTATAATACTAGAAAAAAATAGTCAGCAGTATTGTAAATTATTACCAAATAAAAATGACAGGCTAACACCTAAAAAAAAAAACATAACTAAAAGAAAAATCCCAGCTGACCAATCACAATGATGAAATGTTTATTGGAGTGTCATCAGTTAGTGATACGCTGACAGCTGTGTGATACTACATCCTGTATCATGTCCTGTCAAGAGCCTGGACAACATTGCCTGCAGGATGTTTTCGTGGGATGAGCAGTATCACTGGGGGATAATAGTGTTTTACTGAAGATTGCAGTGTAAGAGAAACAGCATCTGTTCTGCGTCTGAGAACGCACGTCACCAGCTTGACAGCTTGGCACAGTGTCACAATCACTGCTCTTTTTGGCCTCCAAAAATTGACCTGAGTGCACAGGGTTGTTAAAAAACATGGGGACAGCAAGATTTTTGTCTATAAACTCTTGTGACTCTTTGTACTTCTTTATTTAAAAGTTTGTCACAAAAGCACATTATGCTGTAAAATATACTTACTTATACCTAACTGAAGAATCTAAGGTTATTATCTAGGTAAAAAGATGGAGCCTAGCATCTGTAATTTATACATCTATCCCAGAGATTAATCAGATTAATAAATTCCAGTTAGTCATTAGAATGACCATTGTTATTTCCCTTTTTCTTCCCGTTTGTCGTGTCATGCCTTTCCCATCTGCCTGGTTCTATCGTGACTGGTTTTCCCTCTTGTATTTTTGGAGTTTCCCTTCACGCTATTTTTGATCTTGCGTCAATCAAATATTCATGTAGAAAGACCAATGACTCCCTCAGGCTTACTTGGCTTTCACCATGTTCTTTTTTTTTGTCTCACTTTGTGACGCAAGGACACACGCACAAATAGTCACACGTACTGGATGGGTTAGAAGAGGGATTTTTATTATTCAAACAAGCATAATCACACTTGATAAACATTAAAAGGATGATTAATAGAAAATACAGAGCGATGAAAACAATAAGGGAACAAAGGAGGCTGAATAATTGTAGTAATTGAAGTATGAATCACACTGTCCATGTGTTGTGCATTTTAACACTCAAAAAATGAATAAATGAAATAATCAAAGCATAGTACATTACAACATGAAATAAAATATGGTAGCTCATTATGCAGCTCAGTTTTATTTGAGGCTTTTGGGCATTTGGGCATAATGTTTTACAAAATGAAGAGGTGCAGTATGTTTACAACACATTATTTTTCCACTCCAGTCTTTTGACTACTAAAGAAAATAAAGACAAATCAGTGTAGATTAAAATACATTGAAGGTTGAGCCCAAAGTAAAAGCAGTTTTCTTTCTTGAATTGTTATTCATTGAGTGCATTTTTACATATGTCTAAGGCTTCTTTAGACAATCTCCACTGCTTTATTCCCAACTCCTTCCTCTGCCTTCTTATTCATGCAAAGCTTAATGTAAACTCCATTATTTTCCATTGGCCCCAGACGAGGAAACAGCGGTGTCTAGTCGATGGGATGGATGTATATATTTATACCATGTATGGAGCCAGATTCCAGCCGGCTGTGGTGACGCACAGAGCTAAAAAAGATCCCATTTCCTGGCCCCACTCAGGAAGCAAAGGAAAGACCATGGCTCCAACAGGGTTGTGCAACTGTGCTCGTGGACACTTAACCATAATAAACATTTCTTTTTAACAGGACCCTGCTCAGAGAATAGAGGGAGAGTTGGGTGGAGTTATAGAGGAGAATGAGAGGGATAGGCAAACATGTTTAATATGACAAAATGTGAGCAGACAAGAATTAAATATAAATAAATATAAAGCTGACTCACTCAATCCTGTGTTATTGTAGCAAAACAGACAGCTCATGCATTTTAGCATGTAGGTGTATCTGACTGTGTTCTTTCTGGAAATGAATTTAATAAAACTAATGGCATGACTTGGCCTCTACTTTCCAGTTACACAGTAACTCCAACATTGTCATACACAATCCACCTGAGAACATCCGCCGCCAAGACTTCCCCACTCAAGAAGAGGAGCTGGTGAGGTGGGCAACACAGGAGTTTGGGGGTGTGACTTCATTCACCACAGTCCGAAATCTGAAAAACATCTTATTGACAGGAATAGATGGTGAGAATTAATTATGCAACATGGCTGTTATTTTACTAACATACTTTTTTACAGGATTTCCTGTACTAAATAATGTGTGGGCTGTATTTGCCAGATTGGAGGCAGTAAATTAGAAAGTCTGGTAACATACCAACATTTAAATGAGGATACATGTGAGAAAACATAGGATTCCATCAACCCTGCATCATAAAGGACAATTAAATAACCTTGTGTCCTTGTATTATTCTTACATAAGGTCAGAAGGCACACACACACACACACACACACACACATAAACACACACACATAAAGGAACAGCACAACAATACCACTAGCTGAAAACAACAACATATTATAAGAAAGAAAGAAGAAGGAAAAAGGGACTTTCTGCATAAAAGTGTTTCAAAAGATTTATCAACCTTGACACTATGATTTTTATCTGGAATATGCTATCTGCGTTTTTTGTTTGATCCAAAACAATAATTCTGGTGCTGAAGAGAGCAAAGTAATTACAGTTGGCACAACATACAGCTCCAGCTTACATAACTCAGCAGAGAGTCTGCAGTACAGTAATCAAGAATGGATGCAGTGTTGTTTCCAGGGCTCTCTCTGCATGCTAACCTCTCCTCTTATCTTAAGTGTGTATGAAAACCCTTTCTGATGGAATCACTGAGAAAACACTGCTCTGCGATGAAGACCACATTGCATTAAAAAAGCAACACCTGCATATTCCACCTTGTTTTGATTTTTAATTGGAAGCAAATTCTATTACTTCATGTCATCAGCGCATTGATTTCCAATGTGCCCGTGTCAGTTTGTAGGAAAACAAGCCAACGTATAGCACTTGTTATGCACACAAACACATGTACATTCACAAGGTTGTCATGCGGGAAATCTCAAGTAATCAGTGCTGGGGTCTGAGCTCAATGTTTTCAGTGTTGACAGGATGTCATTGCATGTGACAAAAGATTTGGAATGGGAAGCCGTGGACAAATAGCCACCGATGCTGAACATGGACGCACAAAAACACTATGATTTAAAGTGAGCTTTCATGGCATGAGCAAAGGCTGGACATTAAGAATATTATTTGCTGCTATTGCCAGCAGCAGTAGCAGTGGGATGTGCAAGCACAATTATTTCCTAACAAAGCCTCCTTAAGGCGGTCTGAGCCAAAGCAGAGCTCTGACATGGGTTTAGACAGAAGTGAACGATGGTGATGTCCTGTGTTTTTTTTTCTCTCCAGTATTTTGGATTAGTCAAGTTTTACTCTCTCTCTTTATGATTGTTTGCCCTTCTCTACGTCTATCACCTAAAGGACATTACAGTAGGTGACAGGTTAACGTCCCTGTCTGGCAATGGCATGCTGCTCTTTCCCCATTTTAAATGTGTTGATTAAATTGTGATGAAAGGCTGTGTTTTCCACCTCTCTTAGTTTTAGCTAGTGTTTCACTGATTCATAGTCCACAAGGGCATTAAAATTACTCAAGCAGTGGAGCAGTTTACAGCGCTATTTTGTTCTATCCCTTGGCCCGTAATAGGGTGTTTGGTGAACTTGCGTAGGCCTTGTTGTAGGCGTTTGAAAAGTCTGTGCAATGACTACACAACTGCGTGTTGCCAAGATGAATGCTCACTGAAGAGAAAAAACATGTTCTTCAGGTTTCTTGAACGTCTGAATGTGATTTGAAATTCAGGTCATGCTATTGCTAGTGCAAAAGAGCCATGTTTAGCAGTGTTAAGGAAGCTACTTCTGAATTCTAGTTGCCCAGCTACAAGCAAGTTGGGGCGTAGTAACTAAAAGTTCCTTGAAGTGATACTGCACTTAAAATCACTGTAGATCCCTGTAGGATTGAAAGGACATTGTTAAAAGCTGGTAGTTTCCTCTAGCAGTCAGGTTGAATTCAACTCTCAATGTACTCTAATGGCAACAAATCTTTATATTGGAAAACATTTCTCCATCCATGCCTGTAGCATAATCCATGTGCTCAGTATTTTCCAAACACTCTGGCTATACTTTGGCTGAAATATGCTGTTGTGTCTTTCTCACTGCTCACTATACTTGGCTATTGGTGTGATGAGGCTACATGAGGTGCTGTGGTAAAACATATATCACCCCAATTTCCGTTTTTTAAACAAAATGTGCGCAACAATTTCAGAACTGCACAAGGGTGCACCTGTAAGCCATCCGTCACCATTATTTGGTCAAAGGCTCAGCGTAGTGTACTCTCATGAGACTGTTCCTGGAACATCTTCCTTAGTGGGGAAGGCAAGGTGCTAATGCGCCTGCCCCAGCAGTTTGGTGTTCTGTTGCAGACTGGGCTATGGCTCCCTAGTGCTGGTCGCTGAGTAAAATACTGTAAACTGTCAATTCTGTTTCCAGCCACACTGAACAGAAATAATCTTTCAAAGCATCACTCTGAGTAAAACTAATCGTTAAATAGATAAAAAAGTAGGCTCTAGTTGTAATTGCTTATTGCAGCCGCTACCTCACTGCCATTAAGTATTTATACAGAAGTGCTGGCACTCAATTTTGAGCTGTTGTCTTCTTTATTATAGGAGATTATGCATGCAGAAATTATTACATATATTTTGACTGGAATGTCTTGCCAACAATGATGGAAAATTAACCGTTTGTGGTTTTACAGGGACCAAACCTGGTACTCATGACTGCATACTTAAAAATGAAGATCCATCAGAGAAGCACTTTATGAAGATTGAAAAAGGTTCTTTGTTCAAATCCTGCTCTCCAAAGCCACAGAACCACAGGGATGAAGCTGAGCTTCACATCATAAACATCCAAGAGAATGCCAGCATTCGGTAAACCTTGGGATCCACAAAACATTGCATCTTATGTATTGTTTTGCAGTCTTTCTTGGCAAATTATTCTGTAATTTTTGATCCTTCATTTTGCAGCAATGTATCACTTCGCATAGACAAGGAGAACACCAATGTATTCCTGAGAGGACCTAATGGGACCAAATGGATCTTCATCAACCCAACTCACACCCGCTTTGGAGTAAGCTTACACATACACACACTTATGTAGCACAAAGAATAAGCATATTTATTGTTCCACACCAACAACTTGTGAAATAGGATTTAGTAAGAGGACAAAGACTCCACTTTATGTTATTACATTGTTGTCAATAGTGTGATAAAGCTCACTAAATAACATTGTGATAATTGTGTACACTTTCCCATATCTGTGAAACCTGCTCATTATTGAGTGAGTATTTGTACAAGACAGTGATCTATTTGAACTTGCCTTTTCTTCCTACAGTCTAACAATGAAATCCTGCTGCTGACCACCGGGACACAAAGAGTCGCCCCTCTTTTAACACTGGGTAGTGACAATGCAAAGGTGGTACAAAAGAAGGCTTTAGAATATTTTAAAGTCAGTACTTTCACCAGCTATACTGAATTCAGACCATTGGACTCTATGATTTTACTGGTTCTTGGAAAAAAAGAAAACACTGCAGGTAAGATGATAAAAGGTGAACATTTGTTTTCAAGTTTGTGGCATTTTCTACCAATAGTGTAGATGGAGTACTACAAAAAACCATAGCCATAATACATATTACATGTTACACAATGTACATTACGCAACAGCTTTTATAATTATTCTCACACCATTATACATTCAATATATTATTTACACACACAATGCACTATGTTGCAATTTGAGTGAAGTTCTCAAGTTCTAAGTTTTATCATCAAAAATAGTGGTGGTATAGCAAAGTCTGCACAGGAAAGGACAACTGTCTGTATTAAGTTTACTTAAGATGTTAAGAAAGTACATTAACAATGTGGATGGATCTATATTTTTTTAAATGTCAGCCATTTCTCTCTCAGTTACAGACATTCCCATTACAACTAATGCCCCTAATCAGATGCCTTTGCTGATGCAGCTGTACACCTCCCCAGACTACCGTTCTCCCCTAGACCCTAATACCAAGGTGCAGAGTGACAAGAGAATTTATGCAGAGGTAAGAAATAATTCATCCTCTTAGGTGTATTTCACATTTCCTGCTCAAAAATAAATAAATATATGGTGGATAATGTAAAATAGCAGTAAAATGGCTTATTGCTTTCCAGCAACTAAACTTGGGACACACTTTACGGCACTTATTGTGCTTTTTCCATTCAGTTTCAGTTCATTTGATCTTTTCTCTGATTCCTGCAGATTTCAGGGCACACATATGGGGATTTTGTCATGACCATCAAGGTGATTGGCTGCTTTGTGCGCTCCGAAGGCTCATGCCCGGTTCGGAAAGAGCTGCCCTTCATACTAGAGGCCTGCTCCTTAAATTCTTGTCCCAACAGCACCCGACTCAGCTTCTCCTTAGATCAGCTCCAAGGGCTGACTTCCACTACATGGGACCTGGAATGCTCTGTGAAACTTTGCTACAATGTGGTAGGTGTTTATCAGCTTTTTTTTTTAACTCTTGAATGATTTCAAATGAAAGTGCTTTTAATCATAAATAAAATATGCTATTAGACATTATTATATATTATACAATTTAAATATGTTTGACAGCTCAATTGGTCTGCGTTAAGAAAATATAACCTGTGTTATTTCATTTGGTTGTTTTTTGTATTCATTTTGATGTTGTAGATCTATTGTGGTAGGAATGTTTTGACAGGACTTGATTAAAATACTGAAACTTAAATGCATTTAATGATAAACTTATGACATAAGGCTTTGTAGTTAAGTTTTCTTTTTTTTACCACCTTACTAGAATTGTGTAGATGGAGGAAGAGTGAAGAGGAATCTGGAGGTTACCCAACCACCAAGTGAGTTCAGTTTAAACTCCAAAATATGGATCAGCTAACCTTTTTGAGTCCGATGCAGATGCTGTTCAAGCCCTAATTGGATCAGATTTGTATTCACATTCTTTACTGTGTTTATTTTTCTTACACAGCCTTCTCCAGTATGATCTTCTCAAATAGTGTTCTTGTTTCGACTTTTAAATTAAACACGATTTCCTCTCAGAATTATTGCAGTGTTTACAAACAAAAGAAGACTAGGCAATAGTCTATTGATTTTCTGACTAACTAAAACTGACTTTCCAGAAGGAAGAAAAATAAATAAATTTGAAAAGCACTTGAATATAACATGAAATAACCCGACACCCCCCCACAGACACCGGAGAGTTAGCGTCTTTGAGCTGCTAGCTCAGCTAATGTTACCACAGAGAAACTTTTACAAACAGCCATGAATGTGCTTCTAGTGACTTTCAAAGCTCCAGCTGACTGTCTGAGTTCCAGTGTGGACATAAAGAGTCTGATAGCAACTGCTCATGGCAGGTTAGCTCGGTTAGCTCTGACTACCGGCAACTGTATTCCTTACACTTTGTGAAAACACACCAAACCCAACAAATGCAGAAAGGTCCAGTCTCCAAAATGATGCACACACAATTGTGGGAAAAGTTTTGCTGATGGTGGTATTTCTTGACAAACCCTTGCTATAGGATGAATGTTTCATATTGAATTCTCACAATAAACTCTCTGAACTCTTAGGTGCTTTTAAATTATAAACTTTTCAATTTCTTTTTTTGCCCTCAGGACTTAATTGCTAGTATGGTGCTCTGCTTGCTGCTATGATTTTCATTCCTATTGTTGATTTCAGTGCACAACATGTGCTGTGCGGGCGGTTGTCATAGCAGTGAACTCAGGATATGCAGTGAAGCCAGTAAGGGCTTGCGGGGCAGGGCCTCGTCCTTTAGGAAGGTCTGCAGGCTGACCTTGTGGCCACAATCAGATGTAATGGCCCACAGGGGAGGGGGACAAAGTCCTTTGTGTTTCCAAGGGGTCTGACTGTGTATGCTGTCCAAACACAGCCACTGGGCCCTGTGCTATTGTAGGACCATTCAACACAGTTGACTCAAACAAGGAAAAGATGTCTTTCTTCAAAAAAAAATCTCCAAACAAATGATTGATTCTACGAAAATTTAAATGATTCAAATTCTGAGTAAAAAGACACAAGGAAGTAGATGATTATATGGACATTACCTGGAGTTAGTCAGACTTCTTTTGGAAAACTGATAACAGATAAGCTTTCTTTATCCTCAATTTCCTTCTAGAGAAGAAAGATAAAGGTTGTTATGTCAATGTTGGAACATACTGTGTGTGTTGGGGAAACTACTCATCCATGCTTTGTGGGTTCTGTTTGTCCTCCTCGTTGCTGTTTTGCTTTAACTTATGTTAGATTTTATTTCTGTTTATACCGGGACTTACTGAAATACAGGAATGGAAGTAGTCGTACTTCCATTCCTGGAGGTGTGGTATGTTTATATGGTTCCATTCATTAGCCCAGTGTCAGAGATACAAGGGTTATATATCAGCAGGACTAGCAGACTGCACTGCCCTGTTGCGAGGCTTCACTGGCCAGGGCTGAGTGCTCCATTCAGCTCTGATTCCTGTTTGGTAGTTTTCATACAGAGGGCCCCAGGGAGTCACAGAGCAGGCCTGCTGTCTGTCTTCCCCTCTCCACCTGCACTGGAGCTTCTGCTTCCTGCTCTTGTTTACTCAGCTTGGCTGTCAAAGCCTCACTTATACACACTAACACAGCAACTGATTACAGAAAAAAGTCTCAAGAGAAAGCCTGCTCAAGTTGCTGTGATGTTTCTGGCCCATTCGGAGTCATGGAATGTTCCTCGCTGACAGATCCACAAACTGGTCTGGCTGTCTGGCATGCAGTCAGCACAAATGCCCACAAGATGTCACTGTTTTAGTGTTCTGCGTCATATTTAATTCAGTTGATATTTTGTATTGTTTAATCAGATATCAGCTAGTATTTAATATAGACTTAATTTTAATTTAAAAAAAATAATGAAACCTTGTGGAGTCTATACCAGGCTTGGACTTTCCTAATGTCCATGCAGTTCATTTGAAATGTTGTATGTTCTGATATCAGCAATAAGTTCTTCTAGGCTCATTGCAGAGGCAGTTGGACAACACACAATTATTCAAATACATATGATGCATAGACTGGTGGCAAGTTTCTTCAAAACAAACCTGGTGTTAACTGTAGTGTGTGAAGCCCAGTATAGTTTTTAGCCTGGCATATTCCACCGGAAGGCAGGAGGCAGGTGAGAGAAACTGCAAAGGTGGTGATTGGTTTCTTCCAAATGTTCTGGATACCTGTTGGAAGATCTCTACAGGTAGCAGAAGAAGGGGAGAAGGGCAAGCATATGTTTGCACATTGTTTCCTTGATGGAAACACATAGCATGCACATACTGGCTATGTTAGGTTCTGGTGGGGCATCTGACAGCTTACTTGCATGGTTTCAGACAAAGTTGTGTGTGTGTGTGGGCCTTGCAGAGCCACACTACTTTCCTAACCTCAGATTTTGGTACAACATTTTAGACAATCAACTCAGATCCTAAACCAGTCAGATACCGATCATACTGAAGAAATATCTTGGTGGAACATTTTAAATAAGCTTTTCAAGGATCTAACAATATCTGGCATGTTTTTTCAGCTTGAAAATCACAAGCAAAGATTGATAACTGCCCAGTGAGTAGTTAGTTTAGTCAAATTTTGGAAGAGTTTAAGGTGACACGAGTGAAGGGGAAAACTTTCAATGATCTATTATACACCCTTCCTGAAATTACTTCTATCTCAAGGTTATCCATTTGCGGCCTTGCCAGATCACAATGAGTGAAGCAAAGCTGTGGTATGACCTTGCCAGTCTAGTACAGTATTACTGCGCCATAGTACTATATGTCAGAGGCTTGAGTGAGCTGTTCTCTTACTCTTTCAGAGCTGAATTGAGGGAAAATAATTTTTTTATTGCTTTTGGCTCATGCTTTTATATTTTTTATTAAGTATGTTAGCAGTGTTGTGCTGCCCAGCACACGGCTTGCCTAAAGAACATCGCCAATGCCAAACTTGTTGTTGTAAATTGAAATTTGTATCATTAAATTAGAACAGGGAAAATGATAGAGCGCACATTTTCTTTTTAATTTCAGTTAGACTGAGGTCTAACCCTGAAAAAGTAATGGCTGTTATATTTACTGAATGGGCTTTGCATGTATTGCCACAGTATTAAGGAGTGAGGGAAAAGTAGTATTAAAGGATCATACCATAGCTTGTACAAATTGTATATATTTTACATTGCTGTTTGTTATTTCAAAATCTATACCTTCAATCTTGAGGCAGTTGGTTTCACCTCTTGCCAGTATGACAATCGACTTAAATCTTGCATGGAAACTTCACAGTAAACATATAGTCATCTTGGTTATGCAGTTGGACGCAGGATTTTAAAAAACACAGCTTTATTGGTGCATGCCAGGAACCTCCTACATCTTTAATTAGAAGAAAAAGATTTTGTTGTCTTAAACAGTATTCACTAGACACACTAAAATTACTCTTTGGGTGTTAAGAAAATTTGGTGTTGGCACGTGGTACTTTGGCGTTTTTTGACAAGAAATCGGATTGGCGCCAACCCTTGATCTTTTTGCTTTTACCCAAGTGAAACATATTATACTATATATCTCTGGAAAATACGTACCATATACCATACATACCATCATACAGACTTACTGCTTACTGTGTATTAAGAACATTTCAAGTCTCTGCAAATGTATTTTCATACTGTGTTGGCCTGAACAAGAAGCGTCACTTTTGACTTGTGATTTTTGTGATTGCTGTTGTTGAAATGAAGCTTGCCTACATTGTTTTGTCCTGTATATGTTTCAGCCCCACCATGCATTGATTTTGGCCTACCTGGTGTTCTGGGCATTGCCTTTGGAGGGTTCTTGATCGGAGTATTGCTCATTGGAGCACTGTGGTTTATCAAAATTAAAACAGGTAAATGTATGACTAACAGTATAGAGCTTCTGGTTGAGTATAGATCTGAATGTATGTTTGTCTGGAGTTACAATCCTCTCATTTTGCTTAATTTAGGGTACCCAACTGGACTGGACATTAGCTCAACTGCAGCAAATCTTCCTAGTAAGGAATTTTTATACATTTTTTTATTGGTGCTTGTTTACTCTTGTTTTCTTTTTGTCATCTTATTGGCCTTTCTCTCATCTTTCTTCAGGGTGTCCCTGCTCAGGAGCAAAACGACAACCTGTTTCTACCAATCCTTCCCCTTCTGAGAACAGTAGCGCCAACGCTAGCATTGGAAGCACCCAGAGCACACCGACCAGCAGCATGGCATGAGATTTCAATAGTCTCCACCACCAGCATGGCCACCATCTCCCTTCAAAGTCACCTATATGGGTTTTGTGCTTTTGTTTTCTTTAATAATGCTTAAAAAGCATCTCTCCCTTCCCAGTCCCCTTCAAATTTTCATTTAAAGCACAACCCACGTCTTTGACACACCAAGCCTGAAATGGATGTGATCTGGGAGTTTGTAATGGTGGGTGGGGGTTCGGGGGCACTGGGTGACAGATAACAGAAGTCTAATCAATGGCTTCTGACGCTCATCTCTGCAGCCTCTCTGTAAAGTCAAGCTCCTAGACAGGAAGTTAAAGAGGGCAAGAGAAAAAAAATTGGCTCCCAGCAACAGGAAAAACAAACCATATCCCCAAAGAGCTAACAGGAAATTCACTGCATTCCTTTCAATGAATTGTGCTTGTGTGATGGCAGCACAATAATAGTTAGACAGGAGACAAACCGGTCAAAAGACTGACTTTGAAAAATAGATGAAAAGCTGTTTTGCATTCACATCTAAGCTAGAAAAATACAAATGGCTTTTGGCTAGGTCAGACCAAAAAGTTATCAACAATGCCTTGGGGTTAGAAAAGCTCAACATTTTAGGATCTCAAACCAGTCAATGAAATGCTCACCTCAAGGGGTATTTCTCTTAATTGGAGTTCGAGGTCAATGATTAACAGCTACCTCCTATTATTTTGAAGTCTGGAGCTAAGTTTAAACTTAACACTAGATTTCTCTGGTGAATTGATCTTATTTACTGCCTCTTTCAACTTTTGTTTTATTCTGTGTCACAAGGTAAATCTTATATTTGACCATCTGGGTCATTTGTAGCTCCGGGGGCCATTTTCATGCTATTCAATAGCTATATCAGGGCCTTCATATTAAAGTCAAGTTTTTTTCCCCCCAGAGAATTATACTTGATTTTGTAATAACTCAACCAAAGCCTTCCTAAGTCATATTTATAGCCCAAAGGTAGCAATATATTATCAACCATTAAGAGAAAAGTACTTTCATTTATGTGAGCTCAGAAATAATCACTCTTGTTATGTACAGTACAGCATGTAGAGATATGTGGCTGTATTCAGAGATGAATGAGGAGTTTGTACCAAAACTCTGCACATCAGTTTTTAGACCTCAGACTTAAATGTGGACTTAAGCGCCACTCATACAGCTACGCCCACAGGGTGGAGTTTCCCCAAAATAGTCTGTCTGGAGGTGGAATTCCAGTACTTTTCCTTTGCACAATGTTCATTCTCTCTAGAATTTCTAATAAGGCCATCACCTCTGCCTGACAGTTTGTTGTAATTATACATTTTCACCCTAGATTTCAGGCCTGTGGCAACAAACGCATAGATAAAGAACTTAATACATTATGTTTTCAGGCCAGTATAATCATCTCCCTATTTACCTAGATGTAGCTATTTATGGTGTATTAAACATTAATATTCTTATATTTGAAGATCAAGAAATTAAACAAGTATGAACTGTCGAATCTGCTTGCTTCCACTTCAGTCTTTCTTATTCAAAATGTATCCAGGAACTAATGTCCTGCGCTATGTTGTGATGGGAAATAATGCACATGTTATGGCTCGCAAATGCATTCACAGATTTCGCTTTGACAAATAACTCTTTGTCAGACTTTTATTCTGTGTGGGGGGAACTTCAGATACAAACAAGAGGCTAAAATATTATATAATGAAATTCGCCATTTAATTAGTATTTATTACAAATTAAATCTGTGAGATTTAAGGCAAATGTTTGTTTTAAACAAATGGGCTAGAAAACCCAATTTTCAGGTGAAAACTGGCAGAGTCAGATGTCTGGTAATTTTGATATAGCTATATATCTAAACCCAAAAAAACTGAGTTAAACACCTGCAAGCTCCCCCCACCTTTCCATACATTTTGAACTTAATCTACCCATATAATCACCAGCTCTGAATACAGCCTATTCGGACGGCATAGTATAATCAAAACTAACAATATAAGTTGTCAGTTGTGTTTTAACCCCATGGAAACTTCAAATCCAGCTTTAGCATTATTTCCAGCTGTCACAGGACACACCTAATGTTATGGAAACTGTCATTTGAGAGAGACCTTGAGAGTCAAAATTATTAACTTCTGCTCTCTACATTTGATAGGCTGCATCAGCCACTACAGTGCTAATGCTAGACAGAAGCTGCATAGATGCATAATGGGGACTTTCATGAGTGCTACAACTGTAGAGTGACGGTTGATCCGTGAACCAACTGTTTGTTTTAATGTACAAATGTAAATGTATTTTATATTTTTATTGCCACTCTTTTACCTCTTTAAAAATATTCCCACCACACAACAAGTCTTGTTGGATAAGTAAGCAATTTGTATCCACAGTACAAAGCTTTGACACAAGCACCAAAATTGTGAAGTTTAAATTTTTCTTTATATACATTTGACACTCTGATTTACTGTTTCTGATGCACATATATTCACACGCCCTATAGTCACTCACATTTTGATTTGGATTGTTAAAATAATTTATTCACCTTCAAACCTAATCTCAAAAATACTTTTGCAATTGCATTTGTAAAATGTCTCCTCATTAGTTAGGTTGCTTATTGCATGTATGTTTTTCTGTGCTTTCCTGATTTTCTTTGTGTATTTGTGTAGAGACAGAGAACAAAGAGGGCCAGTACAAATTGCCACTTGAGTATTTGTGCAATATGATGAGGTAAACGTGTATTTAATGTCTATATATTGTTTTTTTTAACCATTTGAATTTTTTTTTAATGTTTTGTATGATATGCTTACTTTGAACCATTTCCTTAACCTGGTTTGTTCTTTTACATATTTGGAGAACTGGGATGATTAATAATCAAGGCACTTGTCAAATGCATAAGATTTGTTTTGTATAGTAATAGTTTTTTATTCTCATATAGATATAGTTTCGATTAGATCGAAGCTATGTACAGTGTGTGTCACATCACATGTCAAAGACATGTACATTTGGTTTGTTGGTTTTGCCCTTGTTTGACTTTTGCCCTAACCCAGAGATCCACCCTGCTGTCCAAAAACACGGCATATCTCTGCTGATACTGACATCTGACATTGTATTGTCTGAATGTCTCAAGACTTGCAGTGAAATATTCAGCACTCACAAACTTGTCGTTTGCAGGAAACATTCAAACTTAAACAGTAAAAATGCGGCGGTTCGTGAGAACTTTTTTCAATTCAATTTAGGAAATGGCTACAGTATTAGTTTTTTTTAAAACTGTCAGGTATTCTGTACTTTTGTTAAGCCCTGGTGAGTACCAGGTTCTGTCTGAGCACTGACAGGAAAATAAGACAGGCTGTCAGTTAATTCACTTGTTAACCCTGAACATCCCTTCGTTACCTCTGACAACAACTTCCTCCTCCTCCTCCTCAGACACTGTCTACACAGTTAACGGAATATGTGTGTGTATGTGTGTGTGTGCATTTGTGTGCAGATGTACAATAGAAACTATGCCTACATTTATGTGAGCAGATTCTTCCTCCAGTGTCTTAACAATGTCAAAATTCAGAATTTTTACCAAAAGAATCTGAAGCCAACATGTCAGAATGTGTGCTTTGATTTTATCGAGTATAAAATGCAGTGTTATTTTTTGTGCTAGAGTGGGCAGCCTTTTACCATTTAAAAATGGATCTATTTGTTGAGACAGTACTCATCTGATGTCATGTTATTCTATGTTGTCTCTGAAGATATATGTCTTGTCTGAAATTATCTTAATAAAGTCAATATGACAAACATTTTTTTTTTTGCGAAATTGTAGTGGGTAAACCCCAAATATTTTGTTTACCATGTATACCATGGATCTTCCAGGGCAAGTAACATCTTAGATTACTAATACAGCACACCTGGTAGAGCTCTGACACAGAATAAAGAGCCAGGCATACTACACACTCTAAAACTTATTAATAACAGCAGTGGAAAAAAGGAATAATGTATTTATACTGTATTTAAACACTATTTGTCTCAGGGCTTTAGGATACATTAAATCCAGATTTCAGTGTTGTGTCACAAGAATGCAGCCTGCTGTCGGTGTCATCCCACAAGATACAAGATTAAAACCTGGATCAAAAGATGAGAAAATGAGACTCCAAAATAATAATTAAAATGTTTGTAAGTTAAGCTTAAACCTGTATAAGAATCATTGCCTCACCTAAATTGGAAATCATGGAGTGTGGTATTTTTCACACAGCAGCAATTTGTAGTCAGGTATTGAAGGTACAGTACTGAAGATAAAAGCAGCAACACCACAGTGTAAAAATACTTAGTAAGTCCTGCATTCAAAATGCTACTTAAGCAGACATGTATAGCAGTAAAGTGATACTATAAATGTAAGAAAACCAAAAAACAGACTATTATTATATCAGCATGCATTAAGTGAAAGCAGCATTTTATGTTGGAGCTGGTTGCGGTGAAGCTAATTTTATACAATAGTCATTAACTGCAGTTAAATTAATTTAAAAAGTAAAAATATTTCACGCTGATGTGGAATATAAGTATAAAGTAGCATAAAATCAAACAAAGTAAAAGCAGCTCAAAAATTTGCATACATGTCTAGTGTGTAACATTTATGAGGATCAATTGGCAGAATATTCTGTAACTATTCTATAACTATGTTTTCATTAGTGTATAATCACTTGAATTTATGAATTGTTTGGTTTTTGTTACATAAGAATACGTAGCAGTACAGTAGCCTAGAAGGGACAAACCAAACACTGGCTCTAGAAAATGGGTAAATCACGTAATAACGCATAAAATGATGTGTTTTGGTTTATTATTATTTGTATCTGATTCAGTAGAGGTTGACTTATAGGTGACCTGGAACACAATGAGCTTGAGGAATTCAAAACATAACACAATAATGGTGTTATGAGTCATATATAACCTTTATTGCTGGGTGAAATTTTTCAAAAGAATTGTGTTTTCGTCTATCTATGGCCATTCCTGAGGTTTCTAGTTTTCTTTTTTGTATACAACTTCAATCGTGTTTTCTGGATTGGAGCCAAGACACACAATACGTGTTTATGGACTGCCATCATCTCCAAATATGACCATGGAACCATTTGGCCTTGCACAGGATACATTATGTGACGTGTTTGTCTCTGTGTGTTTGTGCTTTGCCAGGTTGTTTACATCTCAAGACGAATCTGTTCTTTTCTCTAAAATGTGCCTGCTGAAATGTGTTTATTATGTGTGCATAAAGCATGCAACAACGACCTCAGGGCAAAACCAGTCTTCACAGCTCTGCTCTATGAAAATTAAGGTATGAGTTGGTAGGAGAGATGGATTTTCCTTTTCT